CTTTTAAGGTGGAAGTAAAAAGATGGGCTCAGGCCACACTACAGGTCCTGCCTTCATGGCTGCAGTCTCCCTGCTACGGTATGGCCCTGAGGTGGGACAGCAGGGAGAGAAATAACCTTACACTCGCACCTCGCTGGTTTAGCGCCCGCTGGAGCCGGTGGGCGGAGGCGCAGGGGCTCTTACCTGTCCAGTCGCAGCCCAGCACCTCCAGGCGCATTCCTATTCCCGCTGGGGACCACCTCTCGGGGTGCACTCGGACGTACTGGGCAGGAACAGGGTCAAACCTCCGGACTTCAGGGATATCATAGTGCATGTTACCTTCAAAAAGCTACAGAGAAAGAGAGAGAAAAAAGGCAAGTGATGTGTGCATCTCATATGTTCTCCACAAGACGTGATAACTTGGGCCTAGCAGGACACAGCCGCAGTTTGAAACAGTTTAGCTATGCGACTCTGGGTCACCGAGTCCAGCTGAGGAGAAGTCCTCCTCAGTTTCAAAAGGACCAGACAGGCTGTTTCTAAGAAACCTGCACAATCTCCCTTGGCTTCTGCTGTATATCCAGGGCTCAGATTCTGATCCAAGCCATGCAGGGAAGCCTGGGGAACATCCACAAACTTCATATATAAATAAGATCACATTTGTCCTTTGGCACATAAAGAAGCTACTGCATGTTCTAGGATAGTGTAAATGCTCAGTTTTCCTCACAGTCCAAGTACTGCTGCTTTTCAGCTTACATGCACGAACTTAAGTCTGTGGAGAATAAACAACAGGCTATAGACAGCATCAGGCCTTCTAAGATTCATTTGTAGGATAAGGAAAAATTAAAACCTACCCAGATTTTCAGAAGCGGATGAGTTTGCGTAAAAAGAGAACAGGCAGTAGCAGAGAATTCATTTATACTCAAGCCCTCTGCCACTCCCATACCGCTAAGCAGAAAGATTATGGGGAACTCCAACAATATAGGAAAAACACGGGGAATTTCAGGGTCACACCAGTATAGCAAAAGGGACTCCAGATATAGCAAATTTCCCAAAGAGAAATTGTGATTCATCTTCCTGCAAACCACAACAGCGACACCTTTCCCCCTAAAATACGTAATTAGTTTGAGTCAAACATAACTGAACACACCATCTTGTGGGCTCTGACCTGCAGGAGCTCGGAGGAGCAGAAGGTGATGTTCATATCCCCAGGCCTGGTCCACAGTAAGAAATGAAGGGAAATTCCCATCCCCAGGGCAAGGTGAAACCTACACCCTCTAGTACAGCTTAAGAGCAGAACCAGGGGACACAACTTGGGATTTCATGGTGACAACCCAAATTCCCAAGGTCTCTGTGGGGAGAGACAGGCAATTTCCCAAGACCCCATCAGGCAGACTGAAGATGGCCAGAAACATATCTCGTTTTGCAGCTGCTCCAGGCAGTGCCTACCTTGGCTTGCATTGTTTTGGGGTCCTGGATGAAGTCCCAGTCCTTTCCATTCATGCTGTAGGCCACCTTAAACTTCTTCACAAAGGAGCGGGACTCGGTGGTGGTCACGCTGTCCCCTCCGCGAGCCCCCTGGATAATGACGCCTTTGATATTCTTCGGGACCCCAAGATCCACCTGTAGCCACTCCTCCCCAGGCTGGGCTTGGGGGACGCGGGGAAACCAGCCCGAGCGGCTGCTCACCCGGCGGGGCAAGCTCGGAAACCAGCCCGAGCGGCTGCTCACCAGGCGGGCCATGCTGGGAGACCAGTCGTAGCCTCTGATGGAAGACGCCGAGATCTGCGAGTCAGGGATGAGGCCAGAAAGCATTCCCAGCAAGCTGGAGCAGGGCGAATCTGCAGGGAAGGAAAGGGCATGAACACCTGGGGTGGTTGAAGGGAGCGCTAGTGGTCTTCCCTGCAGGTTTAAGCTCTGGGCACTCAACCAGCACCAGCACTGCATGCTTCCCCCTTGCCTCCGGGGCCTGGGTGCCTGTCCCACCAAGTGCATCACTTGGGATGGGTGCTTCCATGCTGCTCACAGTGTCACCGTTCCCACCCCAAGCAGCCATGACAGCTGGGGTGGACAGCACCCCGGGACAGGCTGCCGGAGGAACAGAGAGAAGGCCTGAGGCTGAGGGGAGGAGGGGACCCTCACCGGTGATGCGGCAGCCATACAATTCCAGCCTCAGGGCAATGCCGTTGTGCCAGCTCTGGGGACGGATGCGCACAAAGCGGGTGAGCACCGGGCTATGGATCTTGTTGAGAACCACCTCCGTTGCGTCCTCGTTGGCCTGAAATGTCTGCAAGAGAGGTGGGACACAAATATGGTTACATCCTCTCCAGGCAGAAACAAATAACCAGATCAGCAGTCAAAATAATCTCAGCAGGGAAAACCGAAGAGAGGCTTTCTGGGCAGGGCCAGGCTCCGGCCAGGGCAAGCACCCAGGGGCACGCAGAGCGATCTGAGCCGCTGGCAGGACAGCATGGTGGATGGACTTGCCCATAGGGCAGGAGACCCAGGAGCTTGCTGCCCTGCTGCCTCTCATGGCACGCCGAGGCACGTCAGACTATCAGGCCACAGCTGCTTCGGGCTCGCCCCCAAACCTAGAGCCGCTCCAACGTAGAAGGCTGGATGTCCTTGAATGCAGCGTGAGATTTTGCCTCCCCTCTGTGGGTAAACGGGCTGACATCCTGGCATGTCCTTGCACCGAGCTCCCGTGGGAAACTTCATGTGCAAGCAGCGGCACAAGCAGGGAGGATGCTGCCTCTGCCTGGGGCCGTCCCAGCCAGCGCCTTGCTCCTGCCTCTCCGGCACACGCGCAGCCCGCCGCACAGAGACAGCTTTTCGGGAGAGTTTATGATCTGACATGATATGAAGAGGCTGCTGCCTTACCAGATGGCCGTAATCAATAACTACCAGATGGATGTTAGATCCACCCCTCCAGCCCATTATTTTAATAGGATGGACCAGGACTGGATACTTGTGTTTCTGTTTCAGGCTGCAGAGCTATAGCAGGGAAAAAAAGGAGGAAAAGAGGAAATACATAACCTGAGGGCAATTTTCAACCCTTTCTCTGCCCCCAGCATAAAGCACTAAAGCTCAGAGACTGAGGCTGCCGGTGTTGCCCACTTTCCCTCCAAGCCAGTAGGCTCACAGGACAGCACTAGAGCATCCTCTGATCTCGGCCAGGAGCCGCATCCGCACTGAGATGTTGGCTGGGCTCTTCTGCAGGCTCCTACCCTGCATATGCCATGCTCAGCACAGGAGCTCCCGCTAAGCTTATCTCAGAGCGAAGCAGGAGAGTGTAATCTCTGGCACCAATCTCCTTCTGTCGGAGGCGAGAGTCAAGCAATTCAACTGCAGATCCCTGTGATCCAGGGCAGAAAAAGGGGTGAAGCTGTATCCTGGCCTCTCTCCTTGAGCAGCGTTTTAAGAAGCATTTTATAAGCCTCCCACCGCGCTAGGCCTGCAGACAGCACGTTACTGCTCTCCTCCCAGGATCCAGCACACCAGGGAGTGCAGAGGGTGTTCGCAGAGGGACGGCGGCTGTTTGCAGCACCACAACCAGCTCTGGGCTGCCCCTGCGCGTCACCATCCGTCCCGGGACAGCGGCACTCCTGCTGGGGCAGGGAGCAGCCACCCCACGGAGGGCCTTGTTTGCAAATCTGGCTGGTAATTGGGATTTGGGGTTGATGTGAACTTGAGCAGAAATGCTAATCTGGAGAATATACATCATGCTGCTACCGTTTAGCAACACAGCATGGTTTATATGTTTTTAATATCCTATTTTATCCGGTCTGACCCCACTTCCCATCCTTTTCCTTGCTCAGCAGACACCAAATACCCTTTTTTCCAGCAGGAGGGCTATAAGAAGAGTGGTTACTGTGAAACACACTCCAGGCATGCGTGTGTGTGTGTCTTGTAAACCTGTGGGAACACACACACACAGAGGCTGAAAGGATAGATTTCCACACCACAGCAAAGCCTCCAGCTTTATGTCAACACAGAAGCTGACACACAACACCTTACCTCTGAACCTAACACCGGAGGACAGGAAATGTTTATCTGAGCCGGTGCAACTATTTTAGCACGAGGAGCAGCACATCAGGTCAGCCCAAAGGTCCCTCAGTCCCAGGGGCTGGCTCCTGATGGGGGCCCCAGCAGACGCCTGGGGGCAGCAAGCCCAGGGGAGTCTTCTCCTGGCAACCTCTCTTCACTTCCCACCATCAGCAGCTTGAAGACTCCATGAGCCAAAGGTTGCATATGGACCAGCATGTTTAACAGTCACTGATGAGGTTTGCTGCTCTTTTTGGTTTAACATATTTCCAGTTTTGTTCTTTTTTAGCTCACTTCACACATACGAGCATCAGGGGCCAGAATCCAAATTTACACCAGCATAATTTGTTGCTGACTTCTGCAAAGTCAAGCTTGACAGAAAGCAGAAACAGGACTGAGCCCAAAAACTTTATCACTACCACATGCATTGCTGAAAGCATCTCTTACATGACCTTAGTCCCAACCACCTGCTTCCAAAGAGAGTAACCTCAATTCTGCTTTAGATTTGGGGCCAAATAATTTCCTCAGACTAGATCATATTCAACAAGCTACATAACTCTGAACTGGGGCCTTGACACTGCAGACTGCCAGTTTACAAGGGCGGAAACAGCACCTGACTTCCAGCTCTAGTATCAGTCGCATGGGCAGGATCTGCCCCAGTAGCACCTTGTTTCTGAAAAGTCCCAGCTGATCGTAGCAAGTCATTGCTTCGCACCCCGTTCAGCGTAACAGAAAGGGGCCATCTTCAGAGGGTAGGTGCTTAGTGCTGTTGTAGAAGCGGGGTCCTCCCACATGCCTGGCCTTTCGGCCTCCTTCCCAAGTGGAAGGGCATCGTGAGGCCCACAGGTCCCGACGTTGCTGACCAGGGTCTGGCCCTGAGCGTACGGTTTCTCTGCACTGAAAATGCCAACCCCAGAGCCCGAGCGCACCGTGGAGAGAGTCCCGTTGACTTGAACAGGCTCTACATCCTGCCTCAAATTAGCACACACGGCATGGAAAGAACTAGCAGGGAAATGTGTGAAATTGGGAGTGCCAAGAAAGCAAAGATTTCTTCCCCCTTACCAAAATAGAACACTGCTATTCCTCCCATCCTATCTGCTTCCCATCCCACTCAGCACATATTTTGAGCCAAGTCTTCGAATGGTGTAAATCAACATACCGCCATCGAAGTATAAGAAGTCACAGTAATTTACACCAGCAGAAAAAAAAAATCTGGCTGCGATCTAGGGAGATAGATAGATACACACTCAGCAGAGAGCACACGTGCGCACGCGCATGCACACGCACACGCGCTGAAGGGTGACGGAGCCAGAAGACAAACGGGAAAACCATTAACAAATTAAAAGCACCTTCCAAGAAGCAGCCAAGGGAACTCATTTTCACTGCTGCATCAAAAAGCTGCCCATCCACTCCTCATATACTTCATGTTGACTTCCGTTTTAGTCCAGTCGGCAGGTCTACATGTAAAATTAAATTGATAATCAATCAGAGCTGACCTGCTTAATTAATTTGCTGCAGAAAGCAAGTGGTGGGAGAGGAAGATTGGGCAAGTTTTCCATGTGCACACACAAGCAGGCTCCACACCAATACTTACAAGTTGTGTTTCTGATGCCTTGGAACCTCTGCGGGGTGATGGAGGGGATTTCTGAAGCTACGTTAGCTCCAGTGGTTATGGGAATTGTGCCAACGGCAGTTTGGAGTGAAGGGAGTGAAGGACAGGGAAACAAAAAGTGCCGTGAAGTCGAAGAGGCAGCAAGTCAGGGAGGGGGCAACCCCCAGGGAGGTAACTTCTCTCCCGCTTTATTTATTGTGCTGCTTTGCCACTATGCAATTTCTTGGGGAGCTAAAGAAAGCGGCTGGGGGAGGCAGAGGAGAAGGCCATGGATGGCAGCAGCCCTGCCTTTGTCCGTATGTATGTGTCTCTCTGGACCCACTAGATTTACTGCAGGATTATGTTACTCCTGTGGAGACAGAGCCCTGGAACAGAGCATGCTAACAGGATTAGGGCTTCAGGATTTAGACAGAGAAGCATGAAGGAGAAAAGTAGGGGAGATTATTTTCCTTGTCAGATAGGGAAGGCACAAAATGGGCCATGTTTGATGGTGGGAGGATTCTGGCTTGAGTGGAAGGTAGATAGTTCTGGATTTATTAAATCCAGGAACAAGGAGGTAAAAGAAAAATGATACTTGGCAACACTCAACGAAGCACAGCCGTCTGGGCAAGGCGCAGCGTGCCGGGCTGCGTTTGCCAGCACCGTGTCTTTGAGAGGCTCCACTCGGATCCAGGAGTCATGAGGGACACAAGGAGTGGCAGTCTGTTAGCCTGCAAAGGAGATATCAGGCCCAGAAGTACAAAGCTGCAGCCTTACTAGGAAAGCCAGGGCTGTAATTCTCCCCTGGTACTGCACCAAGGGTGAATGTGTGGGGCTGCCTTTCCCAAAGCCTGACATCTTTGTCCTCCCTGCTAAAGCAGCAGAAGCAGGCTGGGACCTGGGGATGCTTCTGGGCAAACGCTCTGCATCATGACATCTCTGTGCAGAAGCACTTGTGGCCTCCTGGCTGATCACACAAGCTTTTCCTGAGTTTTCCAGATAAAGAAGCCACAGGATTGAAAGCTATTCTCTCTCTTCCCAGGTGAATGAACACAGGAGACCTCACTAAGAACTGAAAGGACAAAGAGTCTCCAAAGAGTCATCCTCAATATTCCCTGTCAGTACCAAACACCTCTGACGTTCCCAGCTCCATGCACAGCTGAGACATTCGGCTCTTTGCAGAAATTCAGCCTGCCTTCTTGTATCCACCTGAAATACTACCCAATACTACTACAACAAGCTCAAAGCTATCAAAATTAGTAGGAAATGGAAAACGCACATCAGCTGGATCTGGATCTTGCTGCCATTTCTCATCCATTGACTGCTACAGGTTCTCAAAGCAAATGTTTCAGTTGCATCCTCCCATTTTACACACAGAAAAATGGAGGCAGCGAGAACACCCATCACAGTCACAACCCACCCCAAATCCTGAAACCCCTCCCCCAGTCTCTCGCCACACTAGGTGATCCCCGTGAACTGATCTCCGCGGTTACTAAGACAGAGCTCCTCGGACCACACGGGAGCTGGAACCTGAGACCCTACAAAGAAGGAAGTGGATCAGAATGGATGAGCCCTTTGTTTTCTGATAAAATCCTCATAGTTGAATTTGTCCAGAGAAAATGGCCAAAAACAAAAGGTCAAATCCTGCCAGGTGCTCTTTTCCTTCCTTGGGTTCAAGAACGAGTTGTTGTTTTCTAAAGACATTTGCAAACCACTAGATAAAATCTCGGTGCGCACCAGGCTCAGTGCCTGGAAGATAACCTCTGGGGCCATCGACCCCAGGTGACACAAAGCGGTGTGCCTCAGGGAGGGCAAGAGCCAGAGCAGCCTTTCTGGGCCAGGGGTTGTTTGGCCCTGTCCCATGGGGATGTGCTGGTGGGTAGTACGGGGTGAGCGTGGCGGCCGCGCTCCTCCCAATCTCCTCTCTCGGGGGACACGCAGGAAGACAGCTCTGCACCTTCGGACAGGTCGCTGGGTTAGCCTCTCCCCCTGGTCCCACGTCCCAGGCAAGGACAGAGCATCACCCCCGGGACAGGGTTTTGCCTGGGGTGTGCGGGGCTGGGCTTTGTGGGGAGCAGGCTGCCAGGCAGGGATGGGGCGGAAAGGGGAAGGTGTGAGCGTGGGGCTCCTCTCCTGCCGGCTGCAGGCCTGACGCTGCTTTCCCACTGCCTCCCCTCCCCAGAAACGCAGCAGCGCTCGGCACGGAAGCAGCCCAGCCAGCCCTGTCTGCTGCGAGCACGTATTAATCTTCTTTTCCTCTGCTTCATCCTGCCTTTCCCGTTTCCCTTGCTGCGAGTGCCAGCGGCTGGGGACTCAAAGGGCAGGCATCGCGTTTCGCAGGGAAACACCCTGGCCCCACTACCCTCCGAAACACTGGAGGGAGAAGTGGGGGGCGGAAGAGAAGAGGTCAGAGCTCCCCACCCTCCACAGAGAGCATCATCTCCTCCCCACCCCTCCTGCACTCGCTGTTTTTCTCTTGCTTTAGTTCCCTGATTAAGATGCAAATGTTAGCTGACCCGCCTATAACATGGCAGAGCTTTGCTTTTGGCCCACACAGACAGCAGAAATTCAGAGCAGTGTTTGATACACCCCATATGCCTATGTATATATATGTATGTGTATATATATATACCTATATATCTGCATGTATATAGAGGAATAGAGAGTCCCTGTCTGTCCACCTCCTCCCCTCCCTCCCCACTCCTCATGGCACCAAATCAAGCTGCGGCAGACTTGACAAATCTATTTGGCATGGTTCACTCCACCGTTGCAGCCCGAACCGTGCGGAGCGCTGCACTGACGCAGGGAGGAATCTGCACCTTGAATACAGACAGCTGGGAGCTCGCCTAATGCAGGAACAGCGAGGATTCACACGGCGGGGAACGCGGGGCCAGAGCCCCCAGGCCTTGCCCTGGCCCCGCTGTGGCTTGGCAGCTAGCGGACAGTCGTTCGGTGGGGAGGGAAAGCAGTCACCCAGATGCAAGGGGTAGGCAAGTCACCAAAAAGCAATTACTTATCCTACAGCCTTGGGAGGTGTCTGCTAAATTGAGGCCAGAAAATGAGAAAGAAGCAAGACTGGAATAAAGGAGTAAAAAAGGAGAGGTTTGATTTTTCCTCTTTTTTATGAGACAGAAAACAGAGCAGAAAAAAGATGACGGGACTCACGGGCCAAATCCTGAAGTGGTGGCAATTCACATGGCTATGGGACTGCTTTGGGTTGACAACAGCCAGGCTTTAGGGTCTTGCTGGGGCGATGCAAATTGGCCCACCAGTACTGAAACCAGCCGCGCTGCCCTGCTCCACCCTGGCCAAGGATCCAGCATCCAGCACCCGGGACTGCAAGGACGAGATACCTACTCTCCCTTGTGACTAAAACCACCTTCCAGGCCAGATTCCTGCCCCATTTAGGCTCCAAAAGGTAAATTTATTGCCAGTGGTTACTTGAAACACTGAACTGTGTATTTAGCTCATCTCTCTGCCCGGCGCGTTGCCAATTCTGCCTTGCAAAAATGGTCCCAGCGAGACCTCAAACTCGCCCGTTTCCACGGGCTGCCCGAGGTGAGGAGAAATGGCCCTGGTTCACAGAAAGCTCTGCAGCGGCCAGTGGGTCCTGGGAGAGCACAGAGCCTCCACACCAGCACACAGCCACCACGTCAGGGTTATGTATGAGCTCTGCCATGGCCTGTGGCCCCAGAGCCAGCCCGCCCAAAGTCTGGGGAAGGCTGGCTCCTGACTCTCCTACGGAGTGCTGGGCTGCCCTGTGCCTCCATTTCCCCACGTCTAAAACAGGACTAACACCACCCCACTGGCATGCAAGGAGCTTAAATACTCCAAATATTGGAGGTATGAGACCCTGCTAGTGGCCTCCGCACAGAGTGACCTCATTCTGGGAAGCAGAGTAAATTTGAACCATGAGACACACTCTTGCGGAAGGGGAAATCACACGGCCCGGAAGGGAAGGAAATGTCTGGATGAATCCTGGACAAGGCAGGCTACTGCATTTCATGCCAGCAGTGCTTGTGCCAGCAAAGGGAGGGGACAGCTAATTTAACAGAAGTGCTGAGCAAGCAGAAATTGCTGGGATGTGCATGCAGGGGGAGTTGTGTAGGACCCCAGCCATGAGGTTCACTCAAACAGATTATGGCACATCAATGGGGAGGACATGAGCCATAGCAGCAGTGTGGGTGGGCACCACAGAAGAGCAGAGAAGGGCTTTCCTGAGATGCCCTTAACGAGGGGATAACCACACAACCAAGGCAAGTGACAGAGCAGGACTAGCCCGGCACAACGGCTGCCTTAACCCCTGTCCCCATACGCCAAAGCCCCCATGTGGACCACCTCAAGCTTGCCTTGCCTGGCCACACAGCAGCACCCGCAAGGCTTGGAAGGGCTGAACACCCACATTTACCCTCCCTCCCCTTTGCTCCCATCTCCGTGTGCCTCCCAGAAACACACTGAGAGCGTGCAGCAGCTCCCAGGTTTCAATGCATCCTTGGTGACTGCGCCTGCTAGTGCAGATCCCACAGCTCTGGCAGCCTCAATTGCTCCTCATTATTTATAGTTCATTTTGTTCTCTGGGATGGTGCGATCCTCTCTTAGGATTCGTGCCCTTTCATTTCCGGGCCTCAATAACTCCTGAACTACAGTTTCATGTGGTTTTGTGATTGTTAACCCAGCATGCAGACGGGGCTATGGCCATAAAAGCTCAATGAATCTTGTATGGCAAAACACAGGCTGTGAAAGCATTTTCTCCTTCATTTGCAGTCAAATAACATACTCTCGCCACCACGAAAGATGCAACAGCAGCCAGGTTTTCCAAGGAATAGTGTTTCCTCATTGCCGCACAGAGGAGAAAGGACTATTTCTGCTCAGAGCACCATCAGTCTTTTAGTCCTCATCAGAAAAAGGGTCCCTCACAGGTTAAACCTGCCGGACCTGTAAAATCTCTCTGTTCCATTCCTTCCCGTTGGCTGCAAGACTCACCAAGGTGCATGCAAAAGAGACAAAAAGGCCTTTACCTTGTGGTTTTTCCCGTGTCGGTACATCATCCAGTCCTCCCCATTGGTGCTGACCTCCAGCTTGTAGGTACGGACATAGTAGCCATTCTGAGTTTCTCTGGAGATGGCACCCTGTGTGGCAATGGCTGTGAGCACAGTCAGGAAGTGGAGATCCACCTTTCCAGGGGAAAAAGGGACAAGAGAGAGTATAGTGACCATCTGAGAGCCCAGGTTGGCTAGTTAGTTCCTCCCTCTGCCTCTGAAACATGACAAGGTGCAAATTCAGTCTGCCTCGCTCTATCTGTGGGCATGCATTTCAACAGGCACAACTCCCCCGGGCCGACTTCAGCAG